TTTTATATTGACTGCCATTTGCTGTGACAATCTCCTAAACCAGGAAGGAAAAAAGAGACACGCCACACACAGACCAGCCTTATTATAGGCCCAAGCCGCCAGGATGCGAATGAAGAAGGGAATGAAAAGGGACTCTGAGGACAGGACAGAGCTATCACAAGCCTGTGCAGGAGACCCAAACCCGAGACCTGCTGGCTCACCTACCAGGCAGAGCCAACCGAGACAGGTCAGGTTTTGTAGCCGGAAACAAGGTAAGAGCTAAAAGTAAAAGGGAAGTGGACTGGACGTGGATGGTAGAGTGCAACTGACCCTGCTCGAGTCCAGCTCCACGACCCAGGCTGCCGAACCTCCCTGGGCCTCCCTCCCTTCAGGCTGACAATGAGGACAGGCAGAGACAACACAGGCGGGCTGGCCACTATGACTGTTCTTTCTGTTATTTGGGGGGTAAGGGAGCTGTCAAGAGACAAGCAGAACAGTCAGCATTTTAGATGTGTTTACTTCTTTCCCTTTCTCCCAACTGTGGTCTTCCCCACCCTCAAAAAGAACCAGGAAAGGGACAACTTTATGCCACAGTCCTCAGAGAAGGTACAAAGTAAAAGCGACTTGGAGCCACATGTGTGATGTTAACCACACACCCCATCTGGCCTGCCTGCCAAGAAGCTGGAAGCCAAATTTCAAACTCAATCATACCAACCACATTAACCCGGACGACTAACTAACTACACTTTTCTTTCTTCTTTTGTCCTCATTTTGCATTTCTGCTTACAGTGTTGGTATGTCAATTGTTGTAAGCCCATCCCAAGTCCTTTTTTGTAATGGGGCAGAGAATAAGCAAATACATAAAAGTATGGAGGGTTCTGATGGGTGGGTGAAGTTATGAAACCTGGCCCCTTTCCCATGACAATGGAGCCTCCCAGATCTCCACTCCACCCCTCCAGCCAGTGGCTGGCACGCCCATTAACATTTGCTCCTTTAATGTCAAAATAAATACATTAATTTAAACGCCCGTATCTTTTATACACATATGTAATGCTAACTAGGGGCTTACCCTCAGCAACTTTTAATAATGAGCAAGCAATTAGGTCGGAAATAGAAAAGACACATCGCCACATAAAAGCAGGTCACAATAAAAATTAGATGACAGGAAACAAAATTGTTACCATTCCAGCAACTAATGAAAGTATGTTACTGTAAACAAGCCTCTGGCGGTGCTATAACCCTTCTCAGGAGTCAGGAAACACCCTGAGGGGATCAAACTCTGAACGGGGAGGAGGGCGGGGGCCGGGGCATTTTACTTTGAAGTCAAAGGGCACAAGGACCTGGATTCCATAGGATGCAAATGATGATACTGGTCCCTGCTTATTATAAAAGACAAAGCTGATCTCTCAGGGCTGCTTACCCTCTTCTGCCCTCCTCTGTCACCAGAGAGTCTTTTTCCAGGCTCCTGTTCACTTCCAGGGCTGTTGTTTCCAAAACCAATGATTACAGATGAGAGGTGTGGTCTCAGATGAAAAATATAACTCTAGGTCTGTGTTGTCGTGATGAGAACTCAGCAGGGAGGCCAATGGTAAAATAGTGCTTCGCTACAGAGGGCTTTGTATACATTATCACAACAAGTGTGTTTCTGATACAAATTCTCTGCTAGCCTATAAAACTGTTTATCTAACTTAAGTGTAACTGTTTCCTCAAATCTTGTCAACCTGCTGCGGTTATTACTTCCAGGTGTACGCTCTGTCACCTCCTCCACACAGGAAAAGCAGCAGCCTCTCCTCCATTGAAAAACCTTAAGATGCCTGGGAGGTAGGAATTTAGTAAAATGTTGAGAAGGGATGATTTATAATAGATCTTAATGCTGATCCTGCACCAATAACAAGCCGAGGGGAAAGAGGGTTGATTTAGAAATTCCCTCACATTTAAGAAGGACACCATGAAAAACAACTACCTCGGTCATCAGTCAATGTCAATTATGGCTTGGAGCCAGTATGGCATTCTTTTTGCTAATATATAAGCAACATCATTTATCATTTCATTTTGAAAAATATTTGCCTTCAATATTCGGTGAAGATATGCACAAAGGCTGCCTCTGGTCCTCCCACTATTACCCCAAAAACAGATCAGCTGTGATTTTTTGCACAGACCATGCAATAGCATATCTATAAAAATCAAGTTATCCATTGAGAATAACAGAGTTGGGTGAGTTTAGGATGGAGGAGGAAGCGATCTTGGTAAAAAAGTGAATATAGTTAAGGTAAACTTTATGGGCTAACTAGAATACTGGCAGGTTGAATTATTGTTTTTTAAACAGCTTTACTGCCATAAAATTCATATACCATAAAATTCACCCATTTAAAGTACAATGCAATGGTTTTTAGTACATTCACACTTATTCATATTTATCAATGATGTTTAGTATATTCATATTCAATTGTGGAAGCATCACCACAATTTTAGAACATTTCTGTCTCCCCAGAAGAAACTTGGTACTTATTAGCAATCAACTCCCACTACTCTCTTTTGCCTTTCAGCCCTAAGTAACCACTAATTTACTTTCCGTCTCTATAAATTCATCTATTCTGGATATTTTATATAAATGGAATCACACAATATGTGGTCTTTTGTGTCTGTCTTCTCTCACTTAGCATAACATTTTCCAAGTTCATCCATGTTGTTGCATATGTTAGTACTTCATTCCTTTTTATTGCCGAATAATGTTCCACTGTGTGGATATACCACATTTTATTTATCCATTCATCAGCTGACGGACATTCAGGTTGTTTCCACTTTTCAACTATTATGAATAATGCTGCCATGAACATTCGTGGATAGGTTTTTGTGTGGATGTATGTTTTCATTTCTCTTGAGTATATACTTGGGAGCAGAAGTGCTTGCTGGGTCATACAGTTCAAATGATTTTTAAAAACTGTTTGCACAGCTACAGTAATGCCTCTCCATAGTCATATATGAAGAACATGAAAGATAGTTAATATTTCTCCACCCCCATCTGACCACCCTGCAACAAACACTTTCATTCATTCTCTCTTCGTCAGGGCCCTACTGCGCTGACATAGTTGTCTACGCTCACTCTGTGTACACGAAGTACTCCAAGGTCTACTCTACGAGAGCACTCAGAGCCGGATGGAATTTCTAAAGATCACCTAGCCCAACATCTTGTTTTCAAACAGGATTGAACTACAACCATCTAATTCTTAAAAGTTCCCGAAGAAGGAAAGAAGGCAATTTCCCTCAGTTGCCTAGTCTCAGAAATATCTTCAAATAACTGACCCAAAATCATACATATACATACAAATACTGAAGGGAAAAGAATAATGGTCAGGTTTTTAAACAAGTTTGAGAGACTATCCCCCACAGGCCCTCTTTTTTGACTTCCTCACTGAACACACTATGTCCCTTGATGCCAGCTAATTTTATGTATCCTCAGCACTGCCATGTCCTAAAATGAATTCCATTTTGATCTAACATAGTAAATACAAGTGCGGGAGAGAGCTCTGCTGTCATTCCTTGAGGTATTTTTCTTTTGCATCAATAGTCTTATTTGAATCTCTTTTCAGAGTCAACAACAGTACCGCACAATTTAACATCCAGAATTTTCTGCTGTTCCTGCTTCTGTAATAGCTCAGACTTTCTTTTCTTTCTCGGTTCCTCTGAGAGAAGCATATATAAAATGAGTAATTATTGCTGCTAAAGAATTGCTGGAGTCAGCAATGCTTCATAGGAACTGCATTTCCTCCTCTCCTCCCTTCCCTCCCACCACAAATTCTCCCCCATAAGTTAAGAATTAAAGACGTATTACTGGGATAAAGAAATCTGACCTGAAATATGTGTTGCAGCTACAATGGCAAGCAACCAAGGATATTAACAATAATTTCCAATGTAGCTGGAAAGGTTAGATGATTTGTTTTTGAAAAGAGCCAACTCTGCACACTTTCATGAGATTAAAATCAGTTTGCTTTTCCTTCTGGACACCTCGCCTCTCCTATTCCTACTCCCCCAAAAAGGCAGAGTGGTTGAGGCACATAAACAAATGGTTCTGGAAATTAACATTCTTGACTAGAAGAAAACTCAAAGATAAATTCCGTTCTGCATTCATTTTCCTACACTTCACTGTGATCAGAATTTATCGTGGTTTCTCTCTCCTTGGAGAGATAATACCTGAGTGACAACATTTCTGACACACAGAAGCTTAAAAACAGAAAGAATGACAACTGTGTTATCTTAAATACAGTATGATGACAATGTGCCCATAATCTAGGTCATTTCTGAGCCACAGGAAAGAGGAGGCCATTTCTCTCTTACGGTGATGACCTCGGGCCAGTGAGTTATCTCTGCACCTGTCTGTCACCTGTAAAATGAGGATAATGATAGGCCTTCATGGGGTTAGTGCATGAGTGCTTCAAACAGCGCTGAAGACAGAGTAAATACTGAGTCATTATGAGCTTGGATCATCATCATCACCACCAAGATCACCACCATCTTCGAGAAGCTGTCTGGATAGCATAAGGAGCTACCCCCAGGGCTTTCCATGTAAGTACAAAGTACTGTGGCCTTTATTCCAGAGTGTTGCCATTTCCCCTGACTCATCTTGCAGGAGCAATAGGTTCATAAGACAAAGCAAAGAAAGAAGACAGACAGGGCACAGGAGGAGATGGGAAAAACATTTTACAATTACAGAGAAATGGCACCTTATGTTTTTTCACAGCCATGTTTCAAAGATGAAATTCTTCAGAACATTCTTTCCAATAAGGGGGGCCAGAAAAGTTGGAAAGCTGAGAGAGAGACAGGTTCTAGAGTTGCTCAGCCCAGAGAACAATCTGTTATTTGAAATCCTTCTCTCTCGAGCATACGTTGTGTCCTCTTCCCCACTTATGTTCATATATGAGCATCCTTGTTAAACCCAGAATGGAAGAAAAGGACTCTTCCTTCAGAGAAGTGTCTTTACAAACTAGAGAGGCAATGGGTAGAAAGCTGGCACCTGCACCTACCTCTCTCTGTGGCTGGCCAGGCCCCGGGTCGGCAGTGCGGAGGTTCAGGACATGCACCTCCTGCGGCAGCCCCATCGTGCCTCTGCTGGCACAGCCTGACAAGACGGTGAAGCTCTCCATCAAGGCCTGGACTGGATGGGAGGCATTGACGGGCAACAGTTCACACCTGGCGCTGGGCTCTGGACCTGCAGAGGGAATCACAAACATGCACCCCTTAGAAACAGCAATTCATCGTGCCGCAATTAAATTAATTGTTATGAGTGATCAACCCACCAGAGGAGTCTTTCTAACTAATTTGTTTCCAGAACTAAATGGCAAAAAAGTTGGCCTCTTCTTCTAAAACCCCAATTTCTTAAATTCCTTTTGGATGATTGTGATGTGTATTTGATTATTTAAATTCCTTTTTAGACACACAAATCATGAATGTATTCCTCTGGATGGAGGAAACCTCCCATTTGACATCTGTGTTCAATTCTTTCTTCCTCTTTTAGAAGAAAACCAGAGATAAATGGAATAAATTGCCTAAAGCTCCAATAATATCATGCATAAATAATATTAAACACCTAAAATTATACCCTAAAAAGTTTAAGATGCAGTCCCTATCTTTTAAGTGCTTCCCCTTCATAGGGAAAGCAAACCAAATTAAGAACAACACAGAGTAAGATGTAATGAGTGGAGGCAATTGGGGCCAGAGTTGTACAGCCTTGGGCCAGAGGTCAGAAAAATCCCGCCAAGAGAGGTAGGGCATGAGCAGAGCCTCAAACAGAAAAAGTACAACCCAGGTCATACTTGGCTCCTGCTTCCTCATTCTCCCTTTCTCTGATCAATCAGACCTTAAATCCTAAATCCATCCATTCCTCCCCATCTTTACTTCCTATAGCCTTCCTTGTCTCTGTCCCTAGACAACTGCAGATCTTCCTAAAAGGAGCCTCAGGTCTCAAGGTCTGCTAGCCACTTTCCATACAAGCATTGTCCACCTAACCCAGGAGGGCTCAAATGAAAGGTTATTCCAAATGCCAACACCTGCCCCTTCCATCTCTGCAAGCACGTCCTGTCCCTTGAGAACTGCCAGCCTTGTGAATAAAGCCTGCGCTCCTTAACCTGGCACACAAGGCCTTTCTTCATCTAACCCCCTCCTCTCTCTCCAGCCTCACCCCTCCCCACTCCAGCAACACCAATTAGCTTAAAGGTCTCCAACATACCATGACAGTTCTCAACTCCACGTCTTTATTCAAACTTGTTCCCTTTACCCAAATTCTTCTTCCACTCCAACTCTGCCGCCAGAACTAACAGCCCAAACCAAGGGAGGTCCTCTTCCAGTCCTCCTACAATTTCTCTGCCCGTCTCTGCTGCTTATTTCCATACTGTAACCACCAGTGTACACAACTGTCTTTGCCAGCCCAGCGTGACCTCCCTGATGGCTGTGGGTTACTCATCTTTGTAGCCTCAGTATCCATCACAGTGCCTGGCTCAAAAAATATTTGTTAAATGAATCATGAGCTTAAAAAAAAATTGCCCCTTCTCTGATCTGTGATTAGGGCACCATTCTGGGGACCTGAATTTGGCTCTAGGAACTAATGGGAAACAGCTTGCTATAGTGATGTGAGGTACAACCCCACTACATTTCAGCCTCATTTCACATTGGCTGGATTGATAGAGGGACATCCAGAAGAAGGAGGAACCTCTGATACTTAAACCCCACACACCTCTGTGAGCTTGGTTTTGTCCCCATTCGACAGCTGGGGAGACTGGGACTTGAACATACAGCACCCACTAAACCACAACCTTCCAAATGGAACCTGATAAAAAACCTGAATGCAATCCAGTTAGTTCTTGACTTCCACACAATACTCTCCGCGATTGCAGCTCGGGTCTAAAATGCAAACACAGTTTAGAATCAGGCCATCCTGCACGCCCACTGCTATACCATAAGCAGACACCCTGCCTGGTGTGCCAAGTCTATTTCAAAACTCACGGGAGTTATCTAGGCTGATAACAGTTATCTGGTCTGAAACGAAGTATGTACCTTCTCAAATAATCACTGCCGCCCTCTGTATTGCTGTACTGCGCCCAGCCGATTTCTGAGAAAGAGGTAGTCAAGGAAGACGTCACAGCAGCACAGGCAGAAGGTACTGAACGCCCGATTCCCTGCAGGCCCCCACGCAGGGCGAAGAGCAGGAGCGGATGCTCCCCCGCTGCTCCCCTCCTGCCTTCACCAGCTGCAGTGGGGTGTACTTCACACCCCAGAGCTCCAGAGAAAGATTCCTACTCTTCCTCAGCTCTGAGGACACACAGCAGCTATCGCTATCCATACTGAAAACTCGTCTGGATTGCTTTCATTGCCACCTGCCACAAATTTGCCATTATCACAAATTAAGCACAAATAAAAATACTTTTCAGTTCCATTTTTGTATGTATGTGCGAAGTTCCGACTGGGCTGTAGTTCCACCCAAAACACATCTGCAAAAAGTCTTGCAATCTGCTTGACTCGCCCTCCTCCTTACATTGCCACCATCACCCACCGGGGTTTTCCTTAAATCACCACACTGCTCATCTCCACACTAGGATGGGAGCAGAAACTCACTGGAAATAAATCAGGGGATGAGGTCTTACCCAAAGAGGGAGGGAACCGGAGGGGACACCCCCAGTGCTGAGGATGAGGACTCCTCGCCTTAGAGTCTATGTTCCCCGTCCTGCCACAGTCCAGGCCAGGGCAGACCCCCACTTTGTGGGCTGCAGCTCCAGCCATGGGTTATACAAGTCAGTCCAAGGTCAAAGAAAAGAGAAAGCAATGCACAGGGCACTCTCTGATCAAGGGAGGGGATAGCTGCTCTCTACAGACACCCAATGGGCTCAATTTTTAAACACACTCAGTACAGAGTGTCCCCAACCATCAGACACACTAAAGTAATATTTGGTTTTTGAGGTTCCTTGTTGAATTTTTTTTCCTCCAAGTTTAAAAAAGTTAAAATGTATGTTAAGCTAACCTTATGTCTTTAGACCAAAAAAAAAAAAAAAAAGAAAAAGAAATCAGGAATTATCCACTCACATCCCCAAGAGTATATAAGAAATGGTGACTTCAACAGGTCAACACACAATGTCAGTCTGGTCTAGTAAAAAACAACAAAATAAATTGCTCCCATTTATTAAGTGCTCACTATGGGCTGGGCAGTGCTAGGTGCTGTACATCCTTCCACCACCACCATAAGGAGGTGGTATTACCCCCACCCTAAAGAAAAGGAAAATAAGCTCAATGAACTTAAGTAACTGTTCCAAGATTGCCCCAATCACCCAAGGCCTTCAACTCGAACCTGCCCCGAAGGCCAACATCTCTGTACAGTGAAATTTTTCACTAAAAATTGTTGGGCCCAGATGGGTTCACCAGTGAATTCTAATTCTACCAAACATTTATGGAAGAAATTATACCACTTCTCTACAGTCTCTTTCAGAAGACAGAGGCAGAGAAAATACTTCCTAACCCATTCTATGAGGCCAGTATGACCCTAATACCAAAATCGGACAAAGACATTGCAAGAAAAGAAAACTACAGACCAATATCTCTCATGAACATAGATGCAAAAACCCTCAACAAAATATTAGAAAATCAAATCCAACAATGTATAAAAAGAATTATAAACCTTGACCAAGTGAGATTATCCCAGGTATGCAAGGCTAGTTCAACATTCAAAAATCAATTAATGTAATCCATCACATCAACTGGCTAAAGACAAAAAGAAGAAAAATCACATGATGATATCAGTAGATGCAGAAAAGGCATTTGACAAAATCTAACAGTCATTCATGATTAAAAAAAAAAACCTCTCAGCAAACAAGGAATAGATGAGAACTTCCTCAACCAGATAAAGAACATGTACAAAAACTCTACAGCTAATATCATACTTATTGATGAGAAATTAGAAACTTTCTACTAAGATCAGTTACAAGGCAAGGATGTCCCCTCTCCTACTTCTTTTCAACCTTGTACTGGAAGTCCCAGCTAATGCTTGCAGCTAAATATAGCCATGTGACCAAAATCTGGCTAATAAGATATAACCAGAGGTGACATATGCAATTTCCAGGAAGTTTCTTACAAAGAGAGGGAGATGTGTTCTTCTGCCCTTTCCTCCTTCCTGTTGGCTGGAATACAGATGTGATGGGTAGAACAAGAGCAGCCCTCTTGGGCCATAAGATGGAAGCAACATGCAGAGTTGGGTAAAGCAATAAGACAGAAGTCACCTGAGTCCTTGAACCTGGACTTGTTGGATCAGCTCTGGACTGCTTATTTTATACGAAATACATGTCCACTTTTCTGTCATTCAAGACAATACTATTTTGGGTTTTCTGACACTTGCAGCTTAACCTACCTCAGTTAATATACTGGCTTATTTTACTTCATCAAAAGTGCCACCCTTCTTCCCACCGGAGCCTCCACATACAACGTTTCCTCCAGGAACACTTTCCCCACCATTCCTGTTCCTTTCCCCTGCCTTGGTGTGGAAACTCCTACTCATTCTTCAGCTCTCTCAAGGAAGCTTCTCTTACCACATTAGATATACATTTTTTGATACTCTCATTGTACTGTTTTTCTTCACTGCACTTCAAGTGGTTATATTTACATACTTATTTGTGCAATTATTTGTTTAATGTCTGCATACACCCAAAGACTGAAACCACCACAAAAGAATGGAACCCAGTCATTCTGTTTATTGCTAGATCCTGTAGCCCAGCATGTCTGACACACACTACACACTCAAATATTAATGAGGGAAGGGTGGTGAGAGAGGAAAGGGGACAGAACCATGAGGTGATCATGCTCAAAGGATTTCATACCAATAGGAGACTATCCTAGAGTTCTTCCTTTCACTCTTTACCTAGTAGCCAAAGCTTCAATCTTGTGTACTAAAGGGGAAAAAAATAAATCACGAGATGAAGGAGGTGGCATTTTTGGTTGCTAAGAAGCAAGTCCCAATCGGGGCTTCCCCGCCCTTAAATGTCACAGAAGGCAGGAAATGTAAACCTGTTTTTGTCCTCTCGTCCCAAACACTCTTCTGGCAAGGCCCTTCTCTCCAGGTGGCACAACAATCCCCCGTCTCTCCTGTCAGCACACCACATGCCTAGCCTCATCCTAGCCTCCCAGGTTGGCCCCAAGCCTTCCTGCGCCTCTCCCACAGCCTCAGCCAGCCTC